TTTAGTTTTTTAAGCTCTACACAACCCAGAGAGTAGAAGGAAATAAAGAATAGATGAAGGATTGATGGAAACAAACTAACTAAAACTTTCAAGAAATAAAACTAAATTCAGCAGTAGGCAGGCATCCTTCACCAACCAAATTTGTACCACACAATTCACTGATTTTAGAAAGAACCCAAACATCAAACATGGCTAAAACTTAAAACCACACAGACACATACCTAATTGACCAATGAACATACTTTCAGGTATCAGGAGAAAAGGAAGGCACTGACCAGCCTTCCTCACTATATACACCTACCCCCTCAATGCAATGAGACTCTGCTTTCTTAGTTGATCAAAACAAGCTTGTTTGTGGTCTTATACTAGAGTTTTGAAATGGTCAAATCCTGCCTGGTGTGGTTTATACATATGTGGTTATTAACTATGGGCGCATCATCTAGGGACAACGAAACTGATAAATTTTAATAGGCTGAATAGAAGAATCTAGAGGATTGACTCTGAGCATCAGGATTTATTCAGCACAAAGAGGGCCGGTGAAAACGTGGAATATTTTCTAATTTGCCTTGTACACCTAATCCCAACTCTAAAGGCTCAAGCTTTAATTCAAACACAAAACACAATTCTCAACCTTGATCCAAACTCAGTTTTAACAGATTCTAAAAGATCTCTTAGTAATCAAATGGATACTAATCTCTCCACTAAATCTCCACCATTTTTCGCCATACAAAGTTCACTCTCCCCTGATACCATTCCCTAACAAACACAACCGGTTCTACCATGAGAAATGCAATTCTCCTGCCTCCCTCTGGTACTTTCTTTTTTCTCGTAGAAAATTTAGAGAGAATCAAACACGAAAATCCGCAAAAAAGACGAAAAAATTTCCAGCATTTATCACACTAGTTACAGAAACGAAAGATCCAGGTCGCCTCGATCAAACAACACAAAAATCATTAACTTTCAACATGAAAAACCAAACAAATTCAAAAATAAACAAAAGGAACGAAAAGTTTGATGAAGAAAAAGATGAATACATACCAAACAGGAAGATGGAAAATGGATAGCTCTGAATTTCTCTAAAGAAAATGGAATCCTTCAGGAGGAGAAAATGGAATCCTTCAGGAGGCGACAATGGTTAATTGGCGGAGAAAGGAAGAAGAATGGTGAGGCGTAAGAGCGGTGGGCGCCTTAAATTTATAGACGATCTTAAAGAAAATTAAAGATATTTTTGTATTAAAAATTGTGATTATGTTTAATTTTGGTACTAAAATAGAAGTGTGGATTTTAATTAACCACATTTATTATGAGGCTAGTGGCGAATGTGAACGTACCTTTTTATTTTTTTTTTCATTTCCCCCCCAGTTTTTCACATTTTATTAGGTATAAATAGTAACTCTTTAATAATTAAAAATAGGTGGAGACGATAAAATAAAATAAAATAAAATAAAAATAGGTGGAAAGGGAAAGGAATCATTTTAAAGGAAAGGAAGGGATTGGTGATAAGAAGATGGGAGGCGAGTGGATGAGAAAAATAAAATAAAACTTAATTTTATAATCTTATTAATATTTTGTATTTGTTTTTTTTTGTGTATAGATAATGATAGATTAAGTAAGACAAAATAACTTTTTCTTTTTATAAAATTCTTTCTCAATTGACTTAAAGTTTAAATTTAAGATTTTCAACTTAAAATTACAAAATTTTAACTATTGAGTAATCTTTTGTGGTATTAATATCTTATATTTATGTTTATAAGTTGAACCTTATATTTTAAAATTATATTATTTTAATAAAATATTATATAAAAGGATAAAAATAATCTCATTTACATTTTAAAAATAAGTTATTTTAGCATTTTTTTAAAGAGTTAATGTTTATTTACCATATTTTCTAAATATTATAGGAAAATTATTTTAAAATTATTTCATTTCAATAAAATATCATAAAAAATGATAAACAAATATTTTAATTCATACTTTAAAAATAAAATATTTTAATTTTTTCAATAAATTCATATTAAAAAAGATTTATTAAAATAATATAATTTTAAGATAATTTTTCACTTAATTTTTAGAAAGTAAAACGGATTACACTATTCTCTCTTTTAATGAAATGTAGTTAAAAGGTATTATTCTTTCTAATTTTTTTAAAATTGCAAGAACACTTTTTTCTTAAATTAATAATTGAGATAAAAAAAATTTTCACTTATATTTTGAAGAAAATAATAAAAATTAAAAATTAAGTCAATCCCTCTCACTTCTTGCATACGAAGGAATGCAGGGGCACCGTAGCCTCCATTCAATTTCATTAACAGATTACCAAATGAGGGGAAGGTCTTTCCTTGCCCTTTTTAAATCTCCATTCTTAATTCACCCTGAATTGTCAGTGATGCATCAACTGACGTGGTGGTTCCTTTAAAAACTTTCCATTTGTTTGTATAAACAGTTCTGTGAGGGTGAGAATAGTAAATTGTTGGTGTTTATTTATTCAATTAAAACCCAAAACACATAAAATAAAGTTAGGTAGTAATAAAAGAATAGAAAATGACGGGAGAAAAAAGAAAAGAAAAAGAAAGATTAGAACATGATTTCTCTCACATAATAATGCACGGTTTGGGTTTGGTATGTTGTTGGCCAGAAAAAAAGAAAATTTAGGTTTGGTATTTTGTTGGCCAGAAAAAGAAAATTTAGGTTTTGTATTAATTTTTTCCAAATGATGAATATGACCTTGGAGAACAATGGGCTTATCCCATAACCAAAACACTAGTTTTTGCAATAAAGAAAAAAAAAAAAAAAGAAGAAGAAGAAGAAGTTCAAAAGTATGTGCCATGTGAGGGTAGATAACTGGTGCTTTAAAGTAAGATAAAGAATAATATTTCCCAAGCTAAGGTTGGTATCATAATTAGTAAGGAGATTTCTCATCAATTGTATGGAGTAATAAAGTTTTAATTTATTAGGATATTAATTAAAAACAAATTTTTTTTATAAATTTTTAAGTTTAACATAAATAATTTATTTTTAACTAAATTAGTCTAAAGTGCTCATAAGTTAGCTCGAAACATCTCGTTGAAGTAAATGTTAAAGTAAATGATAGAAAATTTTAGGATTAAAATTTGAGATTAATGGAAAATGTTAAAATGTGAATTGTATATTATCTAATGATTAATTCGTTTTATTTTAGTTGGATTCATAATATTATATGTATGAATTTAGTTAATAATATATTTTTCTAGTCAAATTTAGTTATTATATTTTGACTTTTAAATAAAATTTAATTATGTAATTTTATATAATAAATAAATGACAAATAAAAAACGTTTTATACTTAATTTTTAT